CCAGAACAGATGGAATAAAGTAACACGAGACTTTTAATATGACACTGACACACAGAGTCCACATGTCCCCGTGTCCCCGAGACTGTGTCCCCCTGTCCCCAAACATTTATACAAACTACTGATCTGACCCAGATTATACAAGAAATGTTGATCTGAACCAGGACTAAACCAGGACTAAACCAGGACGAAAACCAGGACTAAACCAGGACTAAACCAGGACTAAACCAGGACTAAACCAGGACAAAAACCAGGACTAAACCAGGACTAAACCAGGACTAAACCAGGACTAAACCAGGACTAAACCAGGACTAAACCAGGACGAAAACCAGGAGGAAAACCAGGACTAAACCAGATCTAAACCATGTCTAAACCAGGTCTAAACGAGCACTAAACCAGGACTAAATCAGGACTAAACTGGGACTACACTAGGACTAAACCAGGACTAAACTATGACTAAACCAGGAATAAACCAGGTCTATTTCAGTTCTAAACCAGGACTAAACCAGGTCTATTTCAGTTCTAAACCAGGACTAAACCAGGACTAAACCAGGTCTATTTCAGTTCTAAACCAGGACTAAACCAGGACTACATCGGGTCTATTTCACTTCTAAACCAGGTGTAATCCAGAGGAGTAAAACCTGCACGTGTTTGTCGCTTGTGTGTTTTTATTCTCAGGTTAAACTCGGACCCGCGCGTGACTCGAGGTAAAGTCCAAGAGACACTGACCAGATGAAGAGGAGGATGGTTCCGTTCAGAGCCCACTTCAGGGACCCGAGGCGCACGCTCTGGATCCGGACCAGTTTGGTGGTTTCGTACTGACACAAGCCCCGGAGGCACGAGCACCGCATCCTGGCTCCGGTCCAAAGAGTCCGTCTTGGTTTAGTCCTGGTTCAGTCCCGGTTTAGTCCCGATCCCAGGCCTGTCTCCGTCCCTGCTCCTGGTCCTGGTCCGGGGCGGTTCCAGTGCGGGTCTCTGGTTCCCTCTGGTTCCGTCCGCAGCCTCCGGGTGTCTTCCTGTCCCCGGTCACATGTCTCTCTCCTCCGCCTCCTCCTCCGCAGCTGAACGCAGCTCCTCATCAGCCCCGGAGCAGAGCGCGGAGAGCGGAGTCCAGACCGGCGCCGCCCCGGGACACGGAGCCCTGCAGCGGGGGAACACGGAGCCCTGCAGCGGGGGAACACGGAGCCCTGCAGCGGGGGGAGCGGGGCAGATGTGCGGGGGCAGAGGACTCGGTTTACGCCCAAACGGGACAGAACCGGACACTTTACCACGATAAAAAAAAAGATAAATAAAAAAGACAAGCGCGTGCGTAAAATTTGTCTAATTTGTACAAATTTACTGGAAACGAAACCAGAAAGTCACAGTCAGTGGCTCCAGTGCGACTTTTTATAGACCGATAATATTTAATCAATATTTAATAGTAAATAGATAATATAAAAAGTAATAATAAAGATGAGATCAGCTCAAATGAATCTTAAAATACAGATTTGTGATGTAATACAGTGAGTTTTTGGCTAAAGTGACCAGTCCCAGTTTTATTTATTTATTTGCACATTAATCAACATCAAAACAATGTAAATGTGAGTTCGCTGATAAGAGCTCATTTGCATCAAAAAGGCATCCTAAAAGAAAATACACTTAAAAGTTATACATCAAAAATTATACTAATGTACAATAAGATTGCAAAAAATAGTGTAAAAGTTTTAGTTTTAGTGTTCACACATTTGTATTTTTGAGCCTGTGTCTCCAGATTTATACAAAACCACTGATTTGTCCAAGTTTTATACAAGAAATGTCCCTATTTTGAACCAATTTAATACTTGTCAACAGTAAAGAGAGACATAAACTGACATTTGTTTGGGTAAAATACAGAAAATCTGCTTCAAAACGACCAAAACACAAAGAAAATGTGACAGTACTGACTCACATGTTCAAGTCCAGAATATTTTTTTTTAATTCTGCACTCGAGTCACAATTTTCTTCTCACAAACCGAGTGTCCCAGTTTTTGATTTTGGAATCCTGGTCACTCCAAGTGTGACTCAAACACACCGATCTGTGGTTTCTCTGCACAAGTCGAAATCAGAATAAATGAGAGTAAATGTGAAGAATAGTCTGGTCTGTGCTGGAGTCGTGGGTCGAGGCACAAACTGAATTCCTCCCAGACAAAGACTCAGTGTTCAGTCTGAGCGAAGGAACATCTGCCTCTGGGGCGCTCTCAGGGGCGCTCTGACACCACGGGGGGCGCTCTCGGGACACCAGGGTCCGCGGGGGGCGCTCTCGGGACACCAGGGACACCAGGGTCCGCGGGGGGCGCTCTCGGGACACCACCGCGGGGGGGTCCGCGGGGGGCGCTCTCGGGACACCAGGGTCCGCGGGGGGGGCGCTCTCGGGCGTCCGGGGGGCGCTCTCTGGACACCAGGGTCCGCGGGGGGGGGCGCTCTCGGGACACCAGGGTCCGCGGGGGGCGCAGAGACGCGTGAGCTTCAGGGAGGGCATCTGATGTAAATATGACAAGATATAAATCAGAGTTTCTCAGACTTTTCTCCGAAAGTGAACCTGCTCACGAAAGATTCAAAAGAAAATACACGTAGAAAAAAAATATTGTGAAAATGAAATGACAGTTTTTTCTGTGTTACATAAAAGTTGTTCTTTATATTTGTTGTATAATTCACTGATTGTTACATATTTAATCTGTTGTGTTGAAGTTTGGAAAAGTGTTTGTCACATTTCTGTTCCTCCAGTTTTTCTTTTACTGAACAGAGCTGTGAGAATCATCAGAGGAAGTGGAGACACAGACTCAACAAACACAAGATTGTCTTAAATATAAATGCAGTTCAACTGTTTTTACCAGGAGAAATAAATCAACAAAAGTGAATAAATGCTGAAAATCTCTTGTTTTATTGAACTCATAAAAACATGCAGAGTCAGAGGTCAGAGTCTGCAGGAGACAGCGCCCCCTCCAGGTATTGCTCCAACTCACACAGACGCCCCACACCAGACCGGACCCACGGGACCCGACCAGACCTGGACCCTGGACCAGACCTAGAGACCGGACCAGAGATGGAGACCAACAAGGGTTTAATACAGAGAGCAAACAGGACTAAACCAGGACTAAACCAGGTCTAAAACCAGGTCCAATAAACGGGAACTAAAACCAGGTCTAAAACCCTAAACCAGGACTAAACCAGGTCTAAAGGACTAAACCAGGACTAAAGACTAAACCAGGACTAAACCAGGACTGGGACTAAACCAGGTCTAAACCAGGACTAAACCAGGTCTAAAACAGGACTAAACCTAAACCAGGTCTAAACCAAGTCTAAACCAGGTCTAAACCAGGTCTAGAGCAGAGTCAGAGGAGCAGAAGATGGACCTGTTTGATGGATGTGGTTCAGAGGAGGCAGGTTCAGAGGAGGCAGGTTGCAGAGGAGGCAGGTTCAGAGGAGGCAGGTGCAGAGGAGGCAGGTGCAGAGGAGGCAGGTTCAGAGGAGGCAGGTGCAGAGGAGGCAGAGGAGGCAGGTGCAGAGGAGGCAGGTTCAGAGGAGGCAGGTTCAGAGGAGGCAGGTGCAGAGGAGGCAGGTGCAGAGGAGGCAGGTGCAGAGGAGGCAGGTTCAGAGGAGGCAGGTTCAGAGGAGGCAGGTGCAGAGGAGGCAGGTTCAGAGGAGGCAGGTTCAGAGGAGGCAGGTTCAGAGGTAGTGTGTAGGTTCCTCTCCTCGTGTGTCCTCCTCCTCCTCGCTCTTTTCTCCTCCTCCTTCAGTCTGAGGATCTCCGCTCTCTGTTCCTCCCGCTTCAGGCACAGAACTCTGTAGTCATCCCTGAAGAGCAACACACGCTTCATTAGACCTGGAACAGTCCTGGAACAGTCCTGGAACAGTCCTGGAACAGTCCTGGAACAGTCCTGGAACAGTCCTGGAATAGTCCTGGAATAGTCCTGGAACAGTCCTGGAACAGTCCTGGAGTGTGACTGTTACCTGAGTTTGTCGGTGAGCTCCTGAGATTTCACCTTCTCCTCGTTCAGACTCAACGTTCTCTTGCTCAGGTCCTTCAACTTCCTGGACAACCTCCCCATCTCCTGCACAAACACACCTGGTTTAGACCTGGTTTAGACCTGGTTTAGACCTGGTTTAGTCCTGGTTTAGTCCTGGTCCAGACCTGCTTGAGGGTCAGGTTGATCTTCCTCATGTTCTCGCAGGTTTGTTTGGTGGTGTGTGTGCGGAGGTGGATCTCCCTCTGTTGGTCCCTCAGGAGTTTGATGGCGTCCAGGAGCTCGTCCTTCTCCCTCTGGGCGTCCGCGATCTCCTCCCTGCACCTGTCGTTCTGCTCCTTCTCCCTGCGCCACTGCGACAGGAGCGACGCCTGCTCCTCCTCCTCCACCTCCTGCCGCCTCTGCGACACCAGCCTGACACACAGCGGCAGTGGTTTAGTTCTGGTTCAGTCCTGGTTTAGTCCTGGTTTAGTTCTGGTTCAGTCCTGGTTTAGTTCTGGTTCAGTCCTGGTTTCAGTTCTGGTTCAGTCCTGGTTTAGTCCTGGTTTAGTTCTGGTTCAGTCCTGGTTTAGTTCTGGTTTAGTTTCTGTGTGTGTGTGTGTGTGTGTGTGTGTGTGTGTGTGTGTGTGTGTGTGTGTGTGTGTGTGTGTGTGTGTGTGTTGTGTGTTACTTTTGGACTTTTTTGTTGATGCGTTCCTCTTGTTCCTTCTTCGCTTTCTCCAGTTCGGTCTTGTGCTCCTGATCCTGTCGGACCAGAGCCTGATCCAAGTCCGAGATCTGAGCCATGAGCTGCTCCCTCTGCTGGAAGAACAACTCCTCTGCAACACACAGACACACACACACAGACACACACACACACACACACACACACACACAGACACACACACACACACACACACACACACACACACAGACACACACACAGACACACACACACACACACACACACACACACACACACACACACACACACACACACACACACACACAGACACACACACACACACACACACACACAGACACACACACACACACACACACACACACACACACACACACACACACACACACACACACACACACACACACACACACACACACACACACAGAGACACACACACACACACACAGACACACACACACACACACAGACACACACACACACACAGACACACACACACACACACACAGAGACACACACACACACACAGACACACACACACACACACACACACAGAGACACACACACACACACACACACAGAGACACAAACACACACACACACAGAGACACACAGACACACACACACACACACACACACACACACACACACACACACACAGACACACACACACACACACACAGACACAGACACACACACACACACAGAGACACACACACACACACACACACAGACACACACACACACAGAGACACAACACACACACACACACAGACACACACACACACACACACAGAGACACAAACACACACACACACAGACACACACACACACACACACAGACACACACACACACAGACACACACACACACAGACACACACACACACACACAGACACACACACAGAGACACACACACACACACACACACACACACACACAGACACACACACAGAGACACAAACACACACACAGACACACACACAGACACACACACACAGACACACACACACACACAGAGACACACACACACACACAGACACACACACACACACACAGAGACACAAACACACACACACACACACAGAGACACACACAACACACACACACAGAGACACAACACACACACACACACAGACACACACACACACACACAGACACACACACAGACACACACACACACACACACAGACACACACACACAGACACACACACACACACACAGACACACACACACAGACACACACACACAGACACACACACACAGACACACACACACACACACACAGACACACACACACAGACACACACACACAGACACACACACACAGACACACAACACACACACACACACACAGAGATACAAACACACACACAGAGACACACACACACACACACACACACACACACAGACACAAACACACACACACACTTATACATAAGATATTCAGATCTCCATGTTCCTTTAACTGTTTTAAAAATGTTATATTCACCAAAAACAACAGATGAACGTGTTTTATAAGTTTCTCTGAGTCTCTCTTCTCTTTGCTCTCTGTGCTAAGTCCCTCCCCCTTCAGAGCACTGTCACACACACTCGTTGTGCGTCGCACTAATGAAACTCCTGCACAAACATCAGGTTTGTCGTGTCGTGTTCAGTTTTGTGTCGTGTTTTTGTGTTTTTATGGAGAGTTGTCGTGTGGAGCATGTGGGGGGGCGGAGCCTCGTACAGACTCGTACTGCAGCGAAATGTGACGAGGGTTTGAATAGGGCCTGGGAGAGATCTCTAGATGACTCAAACATGGATGGAGGAGTCTAAATTTTCCACACCTGTCCCTCCTCACCTGTCTGTCCTCACCTGTCCCTCCTCACCTGTCCTCGTCTCTCTTCACCTGTCCCTCCTCACCTGTCCTCGTCTCTCTTCACCTGTCCTCACCTGACTCTCTTTTCCTGTGTTGTGCGTCTTGTATTTTCATCTGTAGTTCTTCCTCTCTCCTTGCGTGTTCTTCCTCCTTGTTCCTCCTCTCGTCCAGCGCTGTCCTGAAGCTCCTCTCTGCCTGCTCCAGCTCTGTCCTGAAGCTCTCTCTGCCTGCTCCAGCTCTGTCCTGAAGCTCTTCTCTGTCTGCTCCAGCTCTCGTCTCAGAGGCTCCAGGATCGTTTTCTGCTCCTTCTTCAGGCGGTCGAGCTTCTCCAGGACCTGAGCTTCTTTACGAGACCACAGCTCGTCCTGCTCCTCCAGACTGGACCCACACAGAACCAGAATCAGGTCTAAAACAGGACTAAACCAGGTCTAAACCATGAACAGAACCAGGTCTAAAACAGGACTAAACCAGGACTAAACCAGGTCTAAACCAGATCTAAACCAGGACGAAACCAGGTCTAACCCAGGTCTAAACCGGGACCAAAACCAGGCCTAAACCAGGTCTAACCCAGGTCTAAACCGGGACCAAAACCAGGTCTAAACCAGGACTAAACCAGGTCTAAACTAGGTCTAAACCAGGTCTAAATAAAGTCTAAACCAGGACTAAACCAGGCCTAAACCAGGTCTAACCCAGGTCTAAACCGGGACCAAAACCAGGCCTAAACCAGGTCTAACCCAGGTCTAAACCGGGACCAAAACCAGGTCTAAACCAGGACTAAACCAGGTCTAAACTAGGTCTAAACCAGGTCTAAATAAAGTCTAAACCAGGACTAAACCAGGCCTAAACCAGGTCTAACCCAGGTCTAAACCGGGACCAAAACCAGGCCTAAACCAGGTCTAACCCAGGTCTAAACCGGGACCAAAACCAGGTCTAAACCAGGACTAAACCAGGTCTAAACTAGGTCTAACCCAGGTCTAAAC